CAATTCCATTCCATGACTTCGCTAACTCAGGCTTACACACAAGAATAAATTTGAAGATGTATACAAATGGAAACACTGATCTGTCCTAAAATCTAAAACCCAAAATTCTAGGTGGGCAACATTTTAAAAGCAGCAAAGCAAAGATGTGCCTATAAGAAAGAACCTACAACTTCACTGCTGTCTCAAAATTTAAGATTCCTAATTCTTGGGCATGATCACGCCACCATGTCAGGACAGTCACTATAGCCAAAAAGGCCCAATGTAAGCATGTCAGCGGACACAGCAGGCCTGTTTGCTTGGGGACGCATCAAGTGTCCCGCAGGAGCTGCTCAGAGGAAACTTTGATTTACCTGTGACAAGAGGAGGAGGTGGCGGCAAGAATCCCCAAGAAGCGGATTGCTAGGGCTTTGATAGCAAGGCTAGGGGAGCGTCCCACCTCTTGCAATACATCTCTTCCACACTGCACCTGCAAAGTCTGCCTCACACCGTTTCCCTGCAGCTCTCCCCGGTGGACCCGTGGTCGGCCCTCCACCCCAGGACAGCGTTAGCAGGCCAGCTTTCCTGGAACATCCTCTGAACAATGAGCTCACGCGAGTCAACTGTTTCACACTCCGCCTGTGCTCCAGTGCCCTCCCTCTGGCCAGATCCTATACTCTTGATGACAAGAGTCATTAAAAAGTCTGTGTAAAATGGAATTAAAAGATAAGTTTATTTTGGGGTAAAAAGGTTTTGCAATCTATGCATATTAAGAGGTCTTGAAAAACTTATAAAAAATACACAGTATTAAGAAAACCTATGCATGGATTTCAAGATCAGTTTTGTCCCCAGATAAACTTAATTCCATTTCCCCACTAACTTTCTGAAGTGCCTTGACGTTGTAAACATGACTTTTAAAAAGGAAATCTACTACCTGAAAGCTTTCGCCTCAATGTATTTTTCAAAGTTACACAAATGCAGATAGTAAAAGTAATAACACAACGGAAAGCTGAGGACCGCATTGAGAAAAACGTATATCCACAATCAATACAGGGTCTATCACGGTGTCTACTTTTCCAAACATTCGCTGGTGCTACCTGAGGATGTTTAACCCGCCATCAATACCAGCATGAGCCCGGGCCTCAGTCTGTGGGAGTGGTGCATTTGGACTCCTTGGATGCAATAAAGACAAAGCCCACACAACTACTGTTCTTGCCCTGCTACTCTTTCCACACATACTCACCCTCTTTCACTGCCTAATTCTTCATCCTTTCCTTCACTGTCTCCATATTTACACATATAATATTTCCAACTTAGAAAATGTTATCACAGGTTAACTCATTGTCAGCTCACGTAAAGCTCAAGAAACTTCTTAACTCAAAAGTTAGAAAGCGGAGGCCTACTTCACTCAACGACATGTTCATCATTTTGGAGTTAAGCGTGCAGAAGAGAACTTCATTATCCTGATCCCACACTCCCGTTTCTCAGTAGACCATGAGATTTTTTTCCTGTCAGTCATTTTCCTCCCTTTCTCCTTTTCTTCTTTCCTTGATGCTGTCATGTTATGCTTGGTCTCCATGGCTTGTCTTTGTCTGGCCTTCTTGTTATCTGTCATTTCTTTCTTTCCTACCTACCCTTGATTGCTCCCTGAACCCCACTGCTGGCTGTTTCTTACTTGGCTTCTCCAGGAACCTGCCCAGAGTGCTCAGTCCTGGGGGAGGTGCCTTTCCTGTGTGCTCACACAACACTTGAGGTTCCCAAGGACAATTTAAGATTCACTGCTCCTTGAAGACAAAGTTTATGTCTATTTAGCTTATTCAGCATTGTGATGCCTGAAACCCTTTGGAAATCCAGTTTCTAAACATCACACAGAGCAAATGGTTTGAATATAGAAATGTGTAGGAAGACATGAATAGGCAGGGCTTGTAAAAGACATAGGCCATAGTTTAGCAACAGCAAAAACTCAGAGGCGCCCACGTCTCTCCTGGAAGCTGCTAGAGCTGGACCGCTGTCTCCAGAATGCTTTCTGTCCTCCCCTCCAGGACAGCAGCATCTCCCTGCAGCTCACTGCTAAACAGACTACATCGCTGTTTAAAGAAAACCACAATTCCTTATTTTTAAAAATCATGACAGCAAAGAGAAGCTGGCTATAATAGGATTTTCACATCAGCACTCCCTAAAACTTGTTTCACTATTACATTATACCACTTTCATATGAAATATCTCAAATCTAGAGACAGGAATAGAAAACAGCAACTATCCATGCACCCACATTATTCCGTTTTTATCAAATCATAACATTTTGTCATATTTAACTCATCTTTAACTTCATATCAGTTTTTAAAAATAAAATATTTTGAACAGACTTGAAATTTCATGTCTACTCACTCTCTAATACATTCCCTACCTCCTGAAAAAAGATTCTATCCTGAAGTTGATATGCTCTTTTTAAAGATGTATGTATATAAAGAATATATAGGATTATTTAGTGGTTTCTTAAGTATTATATGAACCATCTATTTGGTAATATAGCAGTCGAGATACTCTAACAAATAATCTTGCTAAAACAGAGCAGGAGAAGCTTAATAAATTACATGAGAATACTTCAAAGACATATCTGTGTATTAGTCAGGCTTTCATTACTATAACAAAATACTTGACCACGGCTGCTTATGAAGCAGAGAGAGGTTTAATCAGCTCACAGTTTTGGAGTCTGAATGTCCAAATGATCCCCCTTTCGGCTGGATCACCTCATGGTACAGATAGCAATGGTGGGAGTGAGAGAGGAGGCAAGAAGCAAACACATCTAGAACCAGGAGCAGAGAGGAGGCTGGACGGGGTCAAACTCAGGTTCACCAGGAGCAGGGAGGAGGCTGGACGGGGTCAAACTCAGGTTTCTCTAACGACCTTCTTGTTGTTACAAGGTGGTAACTCCAAGGATCTCCCACAGGGCCTCACTGTACTGTTTGTACAGTACTTCCCAGTAGCACCAACCTAGGGACCACGTCTCCAAAGACAATGGACCCTGAGGGACAATCAAACCATACCTACCACAGAGCAATTTATAAGGAGAAGTCTGGAGGTATGAAAAACAAGACAGGAACCAAAAGTAGTGAGGAATAGTGAAGTCCTAACTGGGGAATGGTGACTGGGACTCCTACATAAGGCCAAGACTTTCTGCCTCACCCTATGCCTTTATATCTTTGTCAGCAATTATAAATGGTAGACTTTTAAAATTATTTCCCAAACGAATCATGACAAAGTGTACCCCATGGCAGTTTTGACCATCTCTTCACATAGTCATTGGTCACTCTAGAGACAGCGTATGTCACCTTCACGTTGACCCATTTCTCACTCGGCTTGTCTTTTGTTTGTTTGGAGGCATTCTTCATATATGCTGAATGTTTAGTTCACAGAACACAACACTCCTTCCAGAATGGCTGAAACCAAAATGATGGACCAAGTCGAGTTGTGCTGAACATGAAGATCTCAGTTGCTCTGCATCCACTACGGCAAACAGCACAGCAACCTCCCAGAAAGTCACCACTGTGCCCACCACAGGAGCTAGCCGCCGCACGCCTGCGGAGTCACACAAGCGAAGTCAGAAAGTCACCACTGTGCCCACCACAGGAGCTAGTCGCCGCACGCCTGCGGAGTCACACAAGCAAAGTCAGAAAGTCACCACTGTGCCCACCACAGGAGCTAGCCGCCACACGCCTGCGGAGTCACACAAGCGAAGTCAGAAAGTCACCACTGTGCCCACCACAGGAGCTAGCCGCCGCACGCCTGCGGAGTCACACAAGCAAAGTCAGAAAGTCACCACTGTGCCCACCACAGGAGCTAGCCGCCGCACGCCTGCGGAGTCACACAAGCGAAGTCAGAAAGTCACCACTGTGCCCACCACAGGAGCTAGCCGCCGCACGCCTGCGGAGTCACACAAGCAAAGTGAAGCATACATCCATGAAAACTTCTACATGAATGTTCATGGACGCTCTCACTTATACTAGCAAAAAACTCAAAAGTATTAATGGTCTGTCAACAGGTGAACAGATAACCTCTGGAAGGGGATCCTGGGGTTATTGATAAACTGGAATGAAGTGTGGATACACAGCACAGCACGGGTGAATCTCATCCATGCTGAGTGAAACACCGCAAACAGGAGTGTACACTATAGAACTCCACTTACATAAATACAGAAAGTGCTAACAACAACAGGAAGGAATCCCCGTTTGCCTGGGTGAGATCTGGGAAAGGCAGGAGGAAAATTTAGAGGCAGCAGCTAAGTTCATGCCCTGGATTCCAGCGGTGGTTTCACAGGTACACATGTCATGACAAAACTTACAGCACTGAGCACGCTCAGTTTACTGCGGGTCAACTTATCAATCCAACAGTTCAGATATGTATGCTTTATTTTAAGTCAATTATACTTCAATTAACTGTTTTTAGGCCTCGTAAGAAAATATAGGAGAATCCTAACCATGCTAGGCTTCTGTTTTCCAAGTATTTCTTAAATGTAGGTCACAATTCAGAAAATCTCAACCTTCTCTTTACATCTTTCTAAAAACAATTATTATTTCTTGGAGAAATAATTAAGGGAGAATGACCAAAATCAGAGTCCAGATCTTAATACTATTGTTCCTCCTTCAGGAAATCTACTGTTAATTGTTTTGTCATTGATAACAGTAACCTGTAGATTAACATTTTTCACTGGGCTTATCCCCACGGTTAAGACTCCTGATCTAATAATCAGCCTGGACACTTTTTCCTCTTTGATGAGATTGATCCTAAGCCATTATCATTCCCATTTTTTTTACTCTAGCTAATTCCATTTTCATATCCTCCAGCTCCTCAAGTAGAATGAACCAACAAATCTTTAAGTTCTATCCAAGAACTGAATCATCAAGCTACAATTGAGACAAAAAAAAAAAAAAAAATCCAGAAACAACTAGCCTCAAAGATTTACAAGATGGTAAGCTGAACATCCAAGCCTGTAAGACAAAGGTATTTTAGTATTTAGTACCTACCATCTCCAAAAAGATGCGTCACTAGCCTGGTGAGCGTTTGCTTAAGGTCAAACTCTACAAGCTTTGCGGCCTCCATGGTGTGTGTCTCCTGCTTGTGGGCAGATCGAGAACTCTGTTCAAAGAGCTGCAAGCTCTTTCCATCCTTTACACCAGCAAATAACTGCAAACCAAGAAGCATAATATAAGTACATGGAGCAGAACCCTGGCCAGTCTACATTAAGTAAAATAGAAATTCTGCTAAAAACAAACTTCAGTCTAAGCTGTAATGTAGAAATAAGAACCCCCCCTTGGAATCAATAAATTTACTGAGATTGACATTCATGTAGACCAACTCTGAGTAAGTACTAATGTTATATGGAAGGAGAGTCTATAGAAATAAAGATATTGTCCTGGCCAAAGTCAGGTAAGAAAATTAAGAATTAGGTGAAAAGGTATGGTCTAGGAATTAAATATGATGAAAAAAGTAGAAAACATGCTGGAATCTGCTAACTCTGTATTTCCCAATCCCAGGACAAAGCCTAAAACACATTTCTGCCACTGACTAATTTAAATGTATGGAACGGATATGGAAACTGATCAATGTAATGGCAAGATATAAAATTAACAGATTTTATGATAAATAAAACACATGTTAACACGCAGAGTACCTGGGTACATTGCAAAGGCACAATTTTCTTCATTAGCACTGTTAATCACAACTGCTATTAGTCATAACCTGCTTTACCGATTAAGCAAAGCAGCTCCATCTTTAGCACCAAAGCAGATCACTGCTTGCTACGAGATGGGCTTGTGACAGAGAACTGAGCAAATGAATCCGTCATCCCTCCCAGGAACAAACACCATAAAATAAAAAACTGGTGTTTTAATAAAATAATGAGTAGACAACCATTTCTAATAATGGTGAGATCGATAATTAGCACCAAAGCAACTGACAAATGCAACAAAAATACAAAGAATTACTGAACAAAACTCTACAAGAAAGCAAAAAGCCAGAAAAAGCCCAGCACGAAGCCACTGGGGATATCTGCCTATCTGGCACAGCAACTGAAAAACTGTACACTGGCTATGACAACCCAGAGCAGGAAGTGAGGCAAGAGTGAAAGCTCCGCATCTAAGGAAACTGTCCTCTGTAGACTTGCAATCAGCCACCTTAGCACTTTGGCGGTGGAGACGCCCATGCTGTGAACACAGGCTAAGGCAATCCCAAGGTGAGTTCCTCTAAATCCAGAGTGGGCAAACCTTTTTTCTGCCAAGGGCCATTTGGATATTTATAGCCATTTGTGGGTTACACAAAATTTTCAACTTAAAAATTTGTCTGCTATCCATTTGGTGAAGTTTGAGCCCCACCTCCGGTTGCCATGACAAGGCCACCCCAAATATTCTCACTGGCCTTCCGCAGCCTGCAAGCCGGATGGTCACTATCCCTGTTCTAAAGGTTCAGCAAAATCAAACAGAAGTCTTTTCTGAAAAATCATCTATGATCCCAGGTCTCAACTTACTCTCATGAGAGCCAAAGATAACAACAGTTGCCAAGGCCTGTGTCTTCCAATTTTTCCTCTAAAAATCAGAATAAGAATGAATAAAATTATTAAACACCATCTCCCATTATACCCTAAACACAGAGAATGTCCAAACATCTAAACATGGGTAAGGGAAAAGGCAGGCAGGCAAGCTGAATCCCAGGGAAAGAGCCATTTTACACTCCAACCGCATTATAAGCCTTCAAGGTAGTCATGGGAAGCTAACAAAGAGTGAGGGAAACACAGAAGAGTGGAAACGGTGAGACACCAGGGTTGATCTAAAATCATCACCAGAAAGCGTAAGTCACCTGAGGTGACAATCCTTAACAAGGGTCCTATCAGACTGACAAAAACTACACGACAAAGGAGGGGAGTTGAGCTGTTTTCAAAACGCAGGGTTCCACAAAAGGGGTATCAGGATAAAGAAAGTAAAAGACGACCTTTGCAACTGAGTGGGAAGAAGAAAAGAAACAAGAGAGAAATTTCAGGGTTGCACAAAATAAAACATAAAAAAATTAGATGATTTATAAAACCAACCCCATAATCCAGCAAAAGTAATAAATAATTCATTTTTTTTTACAATCAATGATTGGCTACACTAAAAGAAAGGGGCACCAAAGAATTAGGAAATCTTGCACAACCAAAAATTTTTAAAAGAGAAAACAGAAAAGTCAATAAAATGACAGTTACTACCCAGACATCAGAAAGCCAGTTCAAAACAGCTCAGCTGATGAAATAAAGATCTCCTTTCCACCAAAAAAGAAAACCCGGAAGTAGAAGGGAATTATAAATAAATATCTAAAACCAAAATTTAAACATGTACAAATAAGCGTGTAAGGATACAAACAATTGCTTTAGTCAGGAATTCAAATCTAAGAACAGGGGCCAGCGCTGTGACGCAGTGGGTTAAAGCCCTGGCTTGAAGCGCCAGCATCCCATATGGGTGCCGGTTCTAGTCCCGGCTGCTCCACTTCCGATCCAGCTCTCTGCTATGGCCTGGCAAAGCAATGAGAGACAGCCCAAGTGCCTAAGCCCCTGCACCCACGTGGGAGACCTGGAAGAAGCTCCTGGCTCTTGACTTTTGGCAGGCACCGCTCCAGCTGTTGCGGCCATCTGGGGAGTGAACCAGCGGATGGAAGACCTACCTCTCTCTGTCTGTATCTCTCACTGTAACTCTGTCTTTCAAATAAATAAAATAAATCTTTAAAAAAACAGAAAAATTTAAAAAAATTAAAAAAAAAACCAAAATCTAAGAACAAAAGTAGATGAAAATCAGAAAGAAATGAAAATAGAATGGACTGAACCCAGGAAAAAATACAGAAGAAATAAAAATCACCTGAAAACTTGTCTAAATTACAACACTGGTAAAAAGAAACCAACAAAGGCTTTATGAAGAGCAATGAGGAAAACTGAACCAAAGCAAAGCCGTCAAGAGAAGGACCATGAAATAAAGAGTCGGAGATGGAGTGGCAGAAAGGGAAGACAGGCAAAGGAGGAGTAACATTTACATAACTGGAGTCCCTGAAAGACAAAAACAAAACAAGGAAGCAGAATGCATGACCACCAGATGGACAGATCAAATACAAGATGGACCCTATCAGACTTCTAAGAAGATGGGGAAAGGTTTTCAAGGTTTCTAGGCAAAAAGATCAAATAGCTTACAAGAGCAAAGCAATCACACTGGCATTAGATTCTTCAGAAACATCTAAAACAAAGCAACAATGAAGCCACATTCTCCAATAGCTCAATTTCAAAAAGTGCCGACCAAGGACCAAGAATTTTATATCTAACAATGGTGTCCTTTAAGTTCAAAGTCTAAAGAAAAGGCTTCCAACACCCAAGACCATAGGGAATGTCACATTAATGAGTTCTTCCTGGGCAATTTATCAAAGCATAAGCTTTATTCCAGCAATAAAAATGGGACATTTCAGTCCAAAACTGTATAAGTGGGGAATTAAGTTAGAAGACTAACATGCAATAGTTCCAGGTTCAAACAAAATAGAAATAATGCAACTAAAAAATTAAGAATAGAAAATCTGAAGTAGACTACAGAGGCAAATCATAAAGTAGAATGCACTTTCATTATTGGTTACTGATCAATAAATAATACTTTTAAGACAAAATAGATAGTAAAGCATTCAATAAAAATGAGTGGAATAATGACATTTAAAATGTGTAAATACAAAACAACTAACACAAAAACATAACCTTTCCAAATAGCAACAAAACTTAAAAGTCAAAAGCAAAAAAATTACCTTAAAAGACATACATCTTGCACACATAACTACAAAATATTAAGACACACTTACTACTACTATGTACTACTATCAATCACTGTAAATGGATTTAATTCACCTCTCAAAAGAGGGGGAAAAAAAAAAACATTAAATCCAGCCAAAGAACACAAAGAACAGCCAAATTGTAAACTGTATACAAGAGATACACCTCAAATAATGTTAAAAACAAAGGGATGGACAGAACATAGTAGGGAAATAGAAACAATGAAATGACAAACATATCAAATCTGAAATTAGACAAGTAGGGAACTGGCTTAGTGGGTAAAGCAGACTACCAGCATCCCATATGGGCACTAGTCCATGTCCCAGCTGATCCATTTCCAACCCAGCTCAGTTCCAATGGCCCAGGAAAGGCAGCAGAGAATGGCCCAGGTATGTGGGTACCTGCACCCAAGTGGGACACCCAGATGAAGCTCTTGGCTCATGACTATGGACAGGCTCAGCCATGACCATCGTGGTCATTAGGGAATAAAGCCACAGATGTAAGATCGGTCTCTCTCTCTTTCACTGTAACTCTTTCAAATAAATAAATAAATCTTTTAAAAATTAGACAAGTAGAAGTAAGAAAAATCACTAATTATCATAAATATTTCATGTAAACAGTAGTTTCATATCAAAATATATAGGGGTTGGTTGTGGTACACAGGCTAAGCTACCACTTGTAACTCCAGTATCCCCTATCAGAGTGCTAGCTTTGAGTCCCGGCTACAATGCTTCCCATTTAGTTTCCTGCTAATGCACCTGGGAAGACAGTGGATGATGACCTAATTGCTTGGATCCCCTGACCCACTGTGGTCAACCTGAGTAGAATTACTGGCTCCTGGATTCAGCCTGGCCCAGACCTGGTCCTTGTAACCATTTGGGGAGTGAACCAGCAGATGAAGGCGCCCTCTTGCTCACCCCTCCCCCCACAACATCTCCTTCCATCTCTGATTATCTGCATTTGAAATAAATCTTTAAAAAAGATATGATAGTTATGAATATCTAAACACAAAATAGCAATCACCTTAATGTAGAAAAACCACAGGAGATACCGAAGACACTCATAGAAACAGACTAATAATAAGCTGTAAAACACCATTCTTAATGTAAGAACTGTGCAAAATTAAAACAGAAGTTCTAAAACTAATTAAAAAAGGAAATCTTACACATACATGTTGAACTTGCTTCCCTCATAATAAAAAATATAGTTTCTTCTCAAAAGAGAATATTAACAAAATTGATCATATATCCGATCACAATAAAAATGTTAAGTATATGCCATAAAGTGGAAACAGCAAACAACACTCTAAAATACAATAAAGTTAAAAATCATTAATAATAACAATAAAAAAGAAAACACC